CATTGACATTTATGCACGGCGCATCATACCATTATATCTAAACTGTTACTAAACTATGAGAACTAAAATATCAATAGTTGACAGCTCGACCCTTCCGAACTAGCCAATGCCAGTTGAATATTTATGGTAATTATTGGGCTAAAGAACACTGATACTTATTACTGTTTTGCAATTACGTAATGGGGCAACTACCAGATTATTTCTCTTTTTTTCTACCGTTACTTTTCTCATGATCTTTAGGCCACACCAAATTAATTTGCTGATTCTTGGATTCTTCCAGAAAAAAGTGGACCGACCGCGCGAAAAAAAAAAAGTTTTATGTAGTGAATATCGTCCTTTGATCTATTCAATTAAGAATATAATACGTTGTTTTTTACTGTATTTATGTGTGCTATATTTACTATTATTATAATTGTTGTTTTAAAAATGTCAGTCCCAAGTTTCATAAACCAGTAACAAACAGCAACCTGTGCCCAAAAACCAAAACCCCGTACAAGAAAAGGGTCCCTTTCCACTGGCATTTTGCGGTCTTCGGCAGACAGACTTTTAGCATTTCAAAGAAAACACCTGCTCTACCGTCTTAATGCTCTATAAACTACTCTACAACTGAACTCTAAACCAAACTAAAATTGTAGTTTATAACTATGTTTAGCTTAGTTCTAGAGTTTGAGTGGCGCACAACTAAACCTTCTAAGGCGATATATTGTTTTAAAAGATAAGACACTTCCTGATTGGTTGTTCTCTAGCATGTGACCACAAAGAAGCTCTCTGATTGGTTGTTCTCTATCATGTGACCACAAGAAGCTCTCTGATTGGTTCTCTATCATGTGACCACAAGAAGCTCTCTGATTGGTTGTCCTCTATCATGTGACCACAAAGAAGCTCTCTGATTGGTTGTCCTCTAGCATGTGACCAAAAGAAGCTCTCTGATTGGTTTCCGGCAGCATGTGCCTATGGTAGTGGTAATTACAGATTTTCGAAATCAAAACCTGGGCCCGGATTCACTAACGCACTTACGATGGTAAAATCACTGGTAATTATAGTTACCATGGTAAATAGCGGTGGTATCCACTAACAACGCCATTGGAGTTACCATGGTAAATTTTACCAGTGGTCAGAGCACTGGCAACTTCTGGAAAGACGATGTCATCACGTGTTATCTCGTCAAAAAATCAATATCTATGCAAAGTTTTGGGTTTGATTTCACCTCAAATGTTTTTGGCACACTGATGTAACTGATATGATGGCAAACAGATATCACAATGCGGACATAGTGAAGAAATGCAAATTTCACATAAAACTAGCAAGAATAAAATCCACACAAATTCTCATAAACTTATAGGCCTACATTATACTAGAATGCATGGAACCGATAAATAAGTTAACTTAAAAAAAATCTCTGACATAATTATTACAAATGCTATAGAGAAAACTACCTTGCTGATATATAAACTGGCAATGATGAAAAATATATAAATAAAAAGTTGTTTGGACTGTCTCTGGTTTGAATTAACAATAATATATTAATATAACAGTGTTTTTTATTGGTTCCTATCTATACAGTAAATATATATCCAACATGATGGATATAATCAAATGAATATATTCTCTTTTCTACATGTGCTTAAATAGTGTTTTATCTCTGACGATTATTTAAACAATCTCGCTGTGTCTAGTTTTGTTTACATGTTACGTGATTGGCCGAAGGAACACAAAAGATTATGTATGGCGCGCGCTGATTGGTCGAATTGCTTTACCAGAGCCCTCTGTTGGCTACCATTAGAATGAGTCGATTTACGATTGTAACTCAGCATATCCAAATTACCATTTCTTCATGAATCACTGGTAAACGCAATTGTAAATGACCGCTGATGAATGCGTTACGATCGTATGTTTGTGAATCCGGCCCCTGTATAGTTGTTTCTGGTCCAGCCATTTTTTATTTCAAAGTGAAAAATAAAAACTGGAGCGGCGAACCCGAGAAACCAAAAAAAATTGGTGTGGCCTTACATTGCAATGTCAACAAAGTAACGCGGTTATAAGATGGCAGACCTATAGTAGTTATTTAGATTCCAAATTGCGAAAGTAGTTTTACACCAAGCGATTTTTATTTCGTCTACCACAGCCGCAAATCGCCGTTGCAGGAGTTGAATCTTCCTTTTTATTTTCCACCATCATTGTAATGATTTTATTTAATGATTCAGTGATATTTTGCTAATATTTTCAGGCAAATAAGTTGAAGATTATATTTTGCAAAAGTACATAATGTTTGATGGGATTACTCAAATGAAAAAGTTCCTTTTATACCAATTATTATCCGATAGATATAGATTTTTTTTTTTCTTTTGCAATATCTCTCGTAATAGTTGTAGAACCGATGGAGAATATCAAGAATTTTGTTTTTTCTTTACAGCCTGTGGTTTATTTCATTTTGCAATTCTTCTTTAATAAGATTTTGTGATTATGAAGCCGCCATTCCTGAGGTCTAGTCAACCACCTTTCAGGAGAGAAGCTTTTTGAAGACCTTTTGAAGACCTTTTGAAGACCACGAGCGCAAGCACAGGAAAACGGCCATGTTTTCTTTTCCTCTTGTGGCCGTTTTTCCTTTTCCTTTTTGAAGACCTTTTTCCTTATCGCTCTATCGTTTATCACGTTGCCTTTGCATTTCCTCATCGCATTCTTCAAGAAGTTTCGAAACCAGATGCAGGGCGTGGGGGGGAGGGGGTATTTCCGTATTGCAAGAAGACATACAAAAATCTATCACGTTTTATTATTGTTATTATTATTTATTTATTTATTTATTTATTTATTTATTTATTTATTTATTTATTTATTTATTAGCGGCTGTTGACGAGAGGGGGGCGGGGAGAAGGGAGAGTGAAGGGGGGATGAAGAACACCCTCTACCCCCCCCCATAGACCCTTCTTATCCGTATCATCTGCTGTATCTCTTCTGGACTCGAGATAAAGCCAGTGACGGGAGAGAGGGGG